GAACGCACACGCACGCATACATACATGCATATATACACATATATGCACACAGGCACACATGCACGCACGCACGCACACACACACACACAACACATATATATATATATATATATATTATATATATATATATATATATATATATATATATATACTATATATATATATATATATATATATATATATATATATATATATATAATATAGGTGTGTGTGTGTGTGGTTTATATGTATAGATTATGATTTTTAAAATCTATTAATTTACTATGCAAATGCATGTTTCTGAATGTGTGCATAATATATATATATATATATATATATATATATATATATATATATATATATATATATATAGTATTTATATACAGTTACACACACACAATTCATAAAAAAAATATTCGATATGCATTTAAATGTAATTATCGTATCGTCTTAAGTGCACACGAGTGTTCGTATGCGTGACTGTGTCGGCGACTTGTTCCTAATGACACGAGTGTGGATCCTGCTGCCACGGCGGTGTCCGGATGCGTCGCTCACCGGCTTCGTTCTGCTGGGCTGCGTTCGGATGGCCTTTCTCGGAAGCGCTCTTCTCTAATCGTTTGCACGAAGCCATTCTTTGCGTTTTTGTTCAGTTCTGCGTCCGTTTGCCTCTTCTGATTCGTGCTCTGCGAGTTGTTTTGTTTATCAAGGGTGTATATAAACACACACACACAATGTATATATAATATAAATAGATATACATATATACATATATATAGTATATAAATATATAGTAGTATATCATCAGCATATGCCAACATTTTATTAGTAATGCCAGACCACATATCGCTTGCATGTAAAAAAGAGCAAAGGGCCCAGAACACTGCCCTGAGGAACCCCAGAAGACACACGGGAATACGAGCTAAAGTTACTATCAACACGAACACGCTATTGCCTACCAGTTAGAAATCCACTTAAAATACTAAAAACTTTTTTTACCAACACCAACAGACTAACTTAAAAATCAAACCTTTGTGATTAACAGTGTCAAAAGCTGCACTAAAATCCAGCGAGACAAGTCTTGACTCATGACCCTTATCTGAAGCAGAGTCTCTGGAAGAAACCGTCTCAAATTTACAGAAAACGTTTGACCAGGAAACGTTCAAAAACCTTGGATAAAATTGGTGTAACTGAAATAGGCCTATATACAGTAGGTGAAGACTGTAGTGGGCCCTTGGGAATAGGGATAACATTACCAAAGCGCCAGCACTCTGAAAATGACCCTTGACGAACTAAAAGGCATAAGATTACGGCTAATTTAGGAGCTAATTGGCCATTTAGTCTTTTTAAAATCATAGGAAACAAGCCATTAGGGTCTACTCCACCACATTCATCTAATTCTGAAACCTGATACCTGATTTCAGAGGACCTGAAAGCAAATGAATCAAAGCATAGCAATGGGTGACATGAAAAAGGAAGTTCAAAATCTTCTAAACTTTACTTTGAATTAAAGCAATCTGCTAACAAGGTAGCTTTCTCAATCGGACCATATGGAACACTACCAACAGGTTTCATTGAAGGAGGAATGGAGGACTCAAGACCACACAGAGATGCTTTCAGTGCTAACCTTCATTTATGAGGCTGTGAGGTTTATGAGAGAGCTTCTTTCAAATGAGCATTATATTCAGATTTAGCCTCCTTATAAACATTAGTTGAGGTGTTTCGCATGACAACATAATTCTCCCAATAACGACTAGTACAGTTTGCGAGTACGGTCAGCTACATGCACACATACACATACACACACACACCTACATACATGCAATTACGCATACACACACAAACACACAGCAACAGACACATACACGCACCATACACACACAAAAACACGCACACACGTGAAGAGGCAGCTAGACACACACAATACACACACCGCACACACAGCAAAGACACACACACATACAAACAGACAAAACACAACACACACACAGCTACACACACAATACACACACATCAGCTTACACGCACACATACACACTAACGCACAGCTACATGCACACATACACACACACACATATACACACACATACACATACATACACATACACGCATACATATATATACACATGACACACACACACACCACTCTCTCTCTCTCCTCTCTCTTCTCCTCTCTCTCCTCTTCTCCTCTCTCTCTCTCTCTCTCTCCTATCATATCCTATATATATATATATATATATATTATATATATAATTATAATATATATATATATAATTCTTCTTTATTTCTCTCTAATCTCTCCTTCTCAATCTCACTATTTTCTCTTCTCTATCTCTGTATGTATAACAACAGCATATACACATCAGAAACACATGCACAACACATACAACCGCGCGCGCGCCATACAACAGCAGCATTACATTATATACACACACACACACAACACACACGACACACACACCTAGCATAACACATACCACACACACACACTCATACACACACACAAACACCACACACACACACACACTACACACATATATATATAAATTCAAATAATATATATATAATATATATATATATATATATATATATATATATATATATAGTACTCGTTCATTTGCACCACACACACACACACATACCATTACACTACATATATATATTATACTTATATATATATTATACTATATATCATTATATATAAGATTATACATTATTTGTCGAGATACACATTATTCGAGAAATGATGTTTCCCTAAGTTCATAATTTCATCGAGATGGTTGAATTCACTTAAAGATTTTCTATTACAATTTTTCAATATAAATCTATATATCTAAAGGCTATCACATGCAAATAATTAGTCTTATAACAAATTGTTTAAATGTTAACAATTCAGTAGATTGTAAAGCCTAAGTGTTTTAACGTAATAGTTTAAATTCTCTTTGTGTTGATGTGTTGTATTACACGTAATATTAAATCTCTGTGTTGTAATCTTAATGTGTTATAATATTGAACGTAATAGTTAAATACTTTTGTTGTGTTGTTTTAACGTAATTGTTAAATCTCTTTGTGTTGTATTAACGTAATAGTTAAATCTCTTTGTGTTGATCTATGATAATGAAGGCCTGGCCATCCTCCATGTAACAGATGAGAAATGGTGGAGCATGGAGCAAGAACACGCCATAATGCCTTGTTTTCAGGGTAAAAAAATGTTTTAGTGGTCTGTGGATACAGTAACGGAAGTAGTTGCAGGTGACAGTTCGGAGTGGGGAGTGGGTGGTGGGTATCAATGAATAGATAGAGAATGGCGTTAGTTATGAGAGCGAAGTGGAAAAGTGGAAAATTATAAGGATGAAAGGGAGGGAAATGATCGGCTTATGGCCTAGGTAAAATCGTGGAAAGAGCGCGGCTAAACTGGGCGCGGAGATCTCGATTCTGTCACACGTATATCTTTATTATGTTTATTAAAATGTCATTGATTCATAATTAGTAGGAAAAGGGAGGGTATATGGAATTTACTTAAGATATGAATTGAATTATTTGAGAATATTACTTATTTAAATTACTGTGTTTATTGCTAAGATTTTTATAATGATAATGAATGTTTATTATGTTTTGTTTATTGAATGAAATATTAAAGGTTTAAGATGTTTCTATGACCGTTATAATATTTGGCACACAAGAGGAATGAATTCAATCCCACGGTACAATAGATACAATAAGATAGGGCCTACATTTAAAAAAATTGACATAAAAACACACTAATATGACAAAGTGAAAATTGATTAGAACAAATAGGATAAATTTGCACATGAAAAATTCTAGTCCCTGACATATTTATCTCTCTCTCTCTCTCTCTCTCTCTCTCTCTCTCTCTCTCTCTCTCTCTCTCTCTCTCTCTCTCTCTCTCTATATATATATATATATATATATATATATATATATATATATATATATATATATATATATATATATATATATATTCAGGCACACATCATGTATGTGTGTATATATAAATCTTCATATCTAAACAAATATGCTGTTCAATGATATAAAGACACGCACCAACTCAGCGCCTCGTTTCTTGTTTCTTTCTCCTTAGACCCGGGGCGGCCTGTGTCTGCCGAGCTGCGTCCACAACGGCACCGTGCGCCCCGACGGAACCGACTGCAGGCATTTCTTCGTGTGCTCGCACCTCCCGAGCGGCCGGCTGGCGCTGCTCCGGTGCAAGTGCCCTCCCGAGAGCCCCGTGTTCAACACTTATCGCCAGAAGTGCTCGGAGCAGTCACGATGCCGCGTCTCCTGCCCTCCGCACACCCACATCTTCTCCACCTGGGTCTGGGCCAACTACACCGACTTCAACTGCCAGGTGGATCCCGACATGCTGATGAAGGCGGAGGCTAACTTGGCTGCTGTCCAAGGGGGTGTATCTGTGTCCTTATCCCACTATCCCGTCACCCTGCCTGCGACGCTCACGGACCCCGCGGCGTTCCACCCCATCCTGTTTCCAGACACGCTTTCCGCGCCGTCGGGAGTCCACCCCGTCACCCTGCCCGCCGTGCTCAGCGGGTCATGCCACGCGGCCCAGCCGTCCCGCAGCCTTCCACGTCCAAGCCTGTTCTAATCCCGGCTTCCCTCACCAAACCCTACGTGATGCAGGCCACGGCGGTACCCTCGTCGGTGTCTACGCTCTCCGTGGACAAGCCTGACCTGCAGCCCGCAACCCTCACTGAGCCCCTCATACAAGCGCCCTCCACTCTACCGGCCACACTTACTTCGCTGTCAACGGTCCTGCCTGCTGCTTTCCCCGCCTCAGCCACGGGGCAGACTAGTGTCCTCCCCGTGGTCAGTCGCCCGCCTGTGGTTATAAGCCCGTGTTCGCCCCCCGTGTGTGTGATGGCCAATTCGAGGCTACAGAACCCCTATTCGTGTCGCAAATATTACAAGTGTGTTTTATCTAGAGGTGTCCTGGTGGCGCGCTCTTACATCTGTCCCAGGGTGATGCCGATATTCAGTCCGGACCTTCAGATGTGCATCATGGGGATTAAATGCAGGACCCCCTGTTCACTACCCGGTGGAAATGGCACTATAGCGATATCAGAAGTAGTGCCCGGTACAGTCATTAACAAATTGCCTGGAACACTCACGGTTGTGACCTCGCTACTGGGTACAGTCACAAGTGTGCTAACCCAGTACGGCACGAGTGTGATATCAGTCCCTGGTGCATTTACAAGCGTGGTTTCATTTCCTGGCTCAGTCATTGGTGCTTCAGCACAGCCAGCTACAGTCACAGATATTACATCATTGCCTGCTAAAGTCACGATGACGGATATAACGGCCTTGACTGGTACAATCACAGGCGGTGCATTGGTATCAGGTGCAATCACAGCTGGAACACCTCTACCTAGTGCAACCGCAAGTGTAATGTCACTGCCTGGAACAATCTCGACTGTCACATCACCATGCGGATCAACGTTATTTCCAGGCATAGTCACAAATGTCATAAACACTGCCTGGTGCAATAACCGGTGTCATATCACTTCCAGGTGCCCACACAAGTGTAACGACACAATTGGGTAAAGTCACAAGTGTCATATCACTGCCAGGTATACCTACAGGTGTTGCATCATTTCCAGGTGCGGTCACTAGTGTCATATCGCTTTCTGGTACAATCATTAGTATAATATCGTTGCCTAGTACTGCTACTACTTTTACATCCTTCCCTGGAGCAGTGACAAGTGTAACATCACAAAATGGTATAGTTCTAGGCATTACATCATTTCCTGGAGTGGTCACAAGTGTGCAGACACTGCAAGACACAGTCACAAGCGTTATATCACAGACTAATACAATCACGAGTGTTATATCACTGCCTGGTACCTTCACAGGTGTAACGTCACTGCCTGGAACAGCCACAGGTGTTATCTCATTCCCTGGTGCAGCCACAAGTGTTACAACAGTGTATGGTACAGTCACGAGTGTTATAACACTTCCTGGTGTACCGACAGATGTTGCTTCATTCTCTGGTGCAGTCACAAGTGTTACATCATTGCACGGTACAGTCGTAAGTGTTATATCACTGCCTGGTACCTTCACAGGTGTAACATTTTTCCCTGGAACAGCCACAGGTGTAACATCACTGCCTGGAACAGCCACAGGTGTTATCTCATTTCCTGGTGCAGCTACAAGTGTTACAACAGTGTATGGTACAGTCACGAGTGTTATAACACTGCCAGGTGTACCGACAGATGTTCCGTCATTCCCTGGTGCAGTCACAAGTGTTACATCATTGCACGGTACAGTTGTAAGTGTTATATCACTGCCTGGTACCTTCACAGGTGTAACATCACAGCCTGGAACAACCACAAGTGTAACATCACTGCCTGGAATAGCCACAGGTATAACACTTTTCCCCGGAACAGCCACAGGTGTAACATCACTGCCTGGAACAGCCACAGGTGTTATCTCATTTCCTGGTGCAGCTACAAGTGTTACAACAGTGTATGGTACAGTCACGAGTGTTATAACACTGCCAGGTGTACCGACAGATGTTCCGTCATTCCCTGGTGCAGTCACAAGTGTTACATCATTGCACGGTACAGTTGTAAGTGTTATATCACTGCCTGGTACCTTCACAGGTGTAACATCACTGCCTGGAACAGCCACAGGTGTTGTCTCATTCCCTGGTGCAGCTACAAGTGTTACAACAGTGTATGGTACAGTCACGAGTGTTATAACACTGCCAGGTGTACCGACAGATGTTGCTTCATTCCCTGGTGCAGTCACAAGTGTTACATCGTTGCACGGTACAGTCGTAAGTGTTATATCACTGCCTGGTACCTTCACAGGTGTAACATTTTTCCCTGGAACAGCCACAGGTGTAACATCACTGCCTGGAACAGCCACAGGTATAACATCACTGCCTGGAACAGCCACAGGTGTTGTCTCATTTCCTGGTGCTGCTACAAGTGTTACAACAGTGTATGGTACAGTCACGAGTGTTATAACACTGCCAGGTGTACCGACAGATGTTCCTTCGTTCCCTGGTGCAGTCACAAGTGTTACATCATTGCACGGTACAGTTGTAAGTGTTATATCACTGCCTGGTACCTTCACAGGTGTAACATTTTTCCCTGGAACAGCCACAGGTGTAACATCACTGACTGGAACAGCCACAGGTGTTATCTCATTCCCTGGTGCAGCCACAAGTGTTACAACAGTGTATGGTACAGTCACGAGTGTTATAACACTGCCAGGTGTACCGACAGATGTTGCTTCATTCCCTGGTGCAGTCACAAGTGTTACATCATTGCACGGTACAGTCGTAAGTGTTATATCACTGCCTGGAACAGCCACAGGTGTAACATCACTGCCTGGAACAGCCACAGGTGTAACATCACTCCCTGGAACAGCCACAGGTGTTGTCTCATTCCCTGGTGCTGCTACAAGTGTTACAACAGTGTATGGTACAGTCACGAGTGTTATAACACTGCCAGGTGTACCGACAGATGTTCCGTCATTCCCTGGTGCAGTCACAAGTGTTACATCATTGCACGGTACAGTTGTAAGTGTTATATCACTGCCTGGTACCTTCATAGGTGTAACGTCACTGCCTGGAACAGCCACAGGTGTAACATCACAGCCTGGAACAGCCACAGGTGTAACATCACTGCCTGGAACAGCCACAGGTGTAACATCACTGTCTGGAACAGCCACAGGTTTTATCTCATTCCCTGGTGCAGCCACAAGTGTTACAACAGTGTATGGTACAGTCACGAGTGTTATAACACTTCCTGGTGTACCGACAGGTGTTGCTTCATTCCCTGGTGCAGTCACAAGTGTTACATCATTGCACGGTACAGTCGTAAGTGTTATATCACTGCCTGGAACAGCCACAGGTGTAACGTCACTGCCTGGAACAGCCACAGGTGTAACATCACTGCCTGGAACAGCCACAGGTGTGACATCACTGCCTGGAACAACCACAGGTGTAACATCTTTGCCTGGAACAGCCACAGGTGTAACACCTGGAACAGCCACAGGTGTAACATCACTGCCTGGAACAGCCACAGTGCATTCCCTGGTGCAGCCACAAGTGTTACAACAGTGTATGGTACAGTCACGAGTGTTATAACACTTCCAGGTGTACCGACAGATGTTGCTTCATTCCCTGGTGCAGTCACAAGTGTTACATCATTGCACGGTACAGTCGTAAGTGTTATATCACTGCCTGGTACCTTCACAGGTATAACATCTTTGCCTGGAACAGCCACAGGTGTAACATCACTGTCTGGAACAGCCACAGGTGTAACATCACTGCCTGGAACAGCCACAGGTGTAACATCACTCCCTGGAACAGCCACAGGTGTTATCTCATTCCCTGGTGCAGCCACAAGTGTTACAACAGTGTATGGTACAGTCACGAGTGTTATAACACTGCCAGGTGTACCGACAGATGTTCCTTCGTTCCCTGGTGCAGTCACAAGTGTTACATCATTGCACGGTACAGTTGTAAGTGTTATATCACTGCCTGGTACCTTCACAGGTGTAACATTTTTCCCTGGAACAGCCACAGGTGTAACATCACTGACTGGAACAGCCACAGGTGTTATCTCATTCCCTGGTGCAGCCACAAGTGTTACAACAGTGTATGGTACAGTCACGAGTGTTATAACACTGCCAGGTGTACCGACAGATGTTGCTTCATTCCCTGGTGCAGTCACAAGTGTTACATCATTGCACGGTACAGTCGTAAGTGTTATATCACTGCCTGGAACAGCCACAGGTGTAACATCACTGCCTGGAACAGCCACAGGTGTAACATCACTCCCTGGAACAGCCACAGGTGTTGTCTCATTCCCTGGTGCTGCTACAAGTGTTACAACAGTGTATGGTACAGTCACGAGTGTTATAACACTGCCAGGTGTACCGACAGATGTTCCGTCATTCCCTGGTGCAGTCACAAGTGTTACATCATTGCACGGTACAGTTGTAAGTGTTATATCACTGCCTGGTACCTTCATAGTGTGTGTTGAACAGCCACAGGTGTAACATCACTGCCTGGAACAGCCACAGGTGTAACATCACTGCCTGGAACAGCCACAGGTTTTATCTCATTCCCTGGTGCAGCCACAAGTGTTACAACAGTGTATGGTACAGTCACGAGTGTTATAACACTTCCTGGTGTACCGACAGATGTTGCTTCATTCCCTGGTGCAGTCACAAGTGTTACATCATTGCACGGTACAGTCGTAAGTGTTATATCACTGCCTGGAACAGCCACAGGTGTAACGTCACTGCCTGGAACAGCCACAGGTGTAACATCACTGCCTGGAACAGCCACAGGTGTAACATCACTGCCTCACAAGTGTAACATCTTTGCCTGGAACAGCCACAGGTGTAACACTGGAACAGCCACAGGTGTAACATCACTGCCTGGAACAGCCACAGGTGTTATCTCATTCCCTGGTGCAGCTACAAGTGTTACAACAGTGTATGGTACAGTCACGAGTGTTATAACACTCCTGGTGTACCGACAGATGTTGCTTCATTCCCTGGTGCAGTCACAAGTGTTACATCATTGCACGGTACAGTTGTAAGTGTATATCACTGCCTGGAACAGCCACAGGTGTAACATCACTGCCTGGAACAGCCACAGGTGTTATCTCATTCCCTGCTGCACAAGTGTTACAACAGTGTATGGTACAGTCACGAGTGTTATAACACTTCCTGGTGTACCGACAGGTGTTGCTTCATTCCCTGGTGCAGTCACAAGTGTTACATCATTGCACGGTACAGTTGTAAGTGTTATATCACTGCCTGGAACAGCCACAGGTGTAACATCACTGCCTGGAACAGCCACAGGTGTTATCTCATTCCCTGGTGCTGCTACAAGTGTTACAACAGTGTATGGTACAGTCACGAGTGTTATAACACTGCCAGGTGTACCGACAGATGTTGCTTCATTCCCTGATGCAGTCACAAGTGTTACATCATTGCACGGTACAGTTGTAAGTGTTATATCACTGCCTGGTACCTTCACAGGTGTAACGTCACTCCCTGGAACAGCCACAGGTGTAACACTTTTCCCTGGAACAGCCACAGGTGTAACATCACTGCCTGGAACAGCCACAGGTGTTATATCATTCCCTGGTGCAGCTACAAGTGTTACAACAGTGTATGTACAGTCACGAGTGTATAACACTTCCTGGTGTACCGACAGGTGTTGCTTCATTCCCTGGTGCAGTCACAAGTGTTACATCATTGCACGGTACAGTCGTAAGTGTTATATCACTGCCTGGAACAGCCACAGGTGTAACATCACTGCCTAACAGCCACTGCACTGGAACAGCCACAGGTGTTATCTCATTCCCTGGTGCAGCCACAAGTGTTACAACAGTGTATGGTACAGTCACGAGTGTTATAACACTGCCAGGTGTACCGACAGATGTTGCTTCATTCCCTGGTGCAGTCACAAGTGTTACATCATTGCACGGTACAGTCGTAAGTGTTATATCACTGCCTTACAGGTATAGCATCACTGCCTGTAACATCACTGCCTGGAACAGCCACAGGTTAACATCACTGCCTGGAACAGCCACTAACATCACTGCCTGAACAGCCACAGGTGGCCTGGAACAGCCACAGGTGCAACATCACTGCCTGGAACAACCACAGGTGTAACATCTTTGCCTGGAACAACCACAGGTGTAATATCACAGCCTGGAACAGCCACAGGTGTTCCTGGAACAGCCACAGGTGTAACATCACTGCCTGGAACAGCCTCAGGTGTAACATCACTGCCTGGAACAACCACTGGTGTTATCTCATTCCCTGGTGCTGCTACAAGTGTTACAACAGTGTATGGTACAGTCACGAGTGTTATAACACTGCCAGGTGTACCGACAGATGTTGCTTCATTCCCTGATGCAGTCACAAGTGTTACATCATTGCACGGTACAGTTGTAAGTGTTATATCACTGCCTGGTACCTTCCAGGTAACGCCTGGAACAGCCACAGGTGTAACACTTTTCCCTGTTAACATCACTGCCTGGAACAGCCACAGGTGTTATATCATTCCCTGGTGCAGCTACAAGTGTTACAACAGTGTATGGTACAGTCACGAGTGTTATAACACTTCCTGGTGTACCGACAGGTGTTGCTTCATTCCCTGGTGCAGTCACAAGTGTTACATCATTGCACGGTACAGTCGTAAGTGTTATATCAAACAGCCACAGGTGTAACATCACTGCCTGGAACAGCCACAGGTGTAACATCACTGCCTGGAACAGCCACAGGTGTAACATCACTGCCTGGAACAGCCACAGGTGTTATCTCATTCCCTGGTGCTGCTACAAGTGTTACAACAGTGTATGGTACAGTCACGAGTGTTATAACACTGCCAGGTGTACCGACAGATGTTGCTTCATTCCCTGATGCAGTCACAAGTGTTACATCATTGCATGGTACAGTTGTAAGTGTTATATCACTGCCTGGTACCTTCACAGGTGTAACGTCACTGCCTGGAACAGCCACAGGTGTAACATCACTGCCTGGAACAACCACAGGTGTAACATCACTGCCTGGAACAGCCACAGGTGTAACATCACTGCCTGGAACAGCCACACATCACTGCCTGGAACAGCCACAGGTGTAACATCACTGCCTGGAACAGCCACAGGTTAAACAACTGGAAAGCCACAGGTGTACATCACGCCTGGGAACACCACAGGTGTAACATCACTGCCTGGAACAGCCACAGGTAACATCACTGGAACAGCCACAGGTGTAACATCACTGCCTGGAACAGCCACAGTGCCGGAACAGCCACAGGTAACATCACTGCCTGGAACAGCCACAGGTTTAACATCACTGCCTGGAACAGCCACAGGATCACAGCCACAGGTGTAACATCACTGCCTGGAACAGCCAACAAACATCACTGCCTGGAACAGCCACAGGTGTAACATCACTGCCTACAGGTGCACTGCCTGTGTAACATCACTGCCTGGAACAGCCACAGGTGTAACATCACTGCCTCACAGTGCACCTGGAACAGCCACAGTGTAACATCACTGCCTGAACAGCCACAGGTGTAACATCATGCCTGGAACAGCCACAGTGTAACATCACTCCTGGAACAGCCACAGGCTGCCTGGAACAGCCACAGGTGTAACATCACTGCCTGAACAGCCACAGGTGTAACATCACTGCCTGGAACAGCCACAGGTGTACATCACTGTAAACATCACTGCCTGAACAGCCACAGTGTAACATCACTGCCTGGAACAACCACAGGTGCTATCTCATTCCCTGGTGCAGCCACAAGTGTTACAACAGTGTATGGTACAGTCACGAGTGTTATAACACTGCCAGGTGTACCGACAGATGTTGCTTCATTCCCTGATGCAGTCACAAGTGTTACATCATTGCACGGTACAGTCGTAAGTGTTATATCACTGCCTGGAACAGCCACAGGTGTAACATCACTGCCTGGAATAGCCACAGGTGTTATCTCATTCCCTGGTGCAGCTACAAGTGTTACAACAGTGTATGGTACAGTCACGAGTGTTATAACACTGCCAGGTGTACCGACAGATGTTGCTTCATTCCCTGGTGCAGTCACAAGTGTTACATCATTGCACGTACAGTTGTAAGTGTATCACTGTGTGTATCAACAGCCACAGGGCCTACAGGTAACATCACTGCCTGGAAAGCCACAGGTGTAACATCACTGCCTGGAACAGCCACAGTGTAACATCACTGCCTGGAACAGCCACAGGTGTAACATCACTGCTGGAACAGCCACAGGTAACATCACTGCCTGGAACAGCCACAGGTGTAACATCACTGCCTGGAACAGCCACTGTGCCTGAACAGCCACAGGTGTAACATCACTGCCTGGAACAGCCACAGGTGTAACATCACTGGAACAGCCACAGGTTGTAACATCACTGCCTGAACAGCCAGGTGTAACATCACTGCCTGGAACAGCCACAGTGTAACATCACTGCCTGGAACAGCCACAGGTGTAACATCACTGCCACAGCCACAGGTGTAACATCACTGCCTGGAACAGCCACAGTGTAACATCACTGCCTGGAACAGCCACAGGTGTAACATCACTGCTGGAACAGCCACAGGTGTAACATCACTGCCTGGAACAGCCACAGGTGTAACATCACTGCCTGGAACAGCCACAGGTGTAACATCACTGCCTGGAACAGCCACAGGTGTAACATCACTGCCTGGAACAGCCACAGGTGTAACATCACTGCCTGGAACAGCCACAGTGTAACATCACTGCCTGGAACAGCCACAGGTGTAACATCACTGCCTGAACAGCCACAGGTGTAACATCACTGCCTGGAACAGCCACAGGTGTAACATCACTGCCTGGAACAGCCACAGGTGTAACATCACTGCCTGGAACAGCCACAGGTGTAACATCACTGCCTGCTGCCTGGAACAGCCACAGTGTAACATCACTGCCTGGAACAGCCACAAGTGTAACATCACTGCCTGGAAACAGCCACAGGTGTGCCTGGAACAGCCACAAGTGTAACATCACTGCCTGGAACAGCCACACATCACTGCCTGGAACAGCCAGGTGTAACATCACTGCCTGGAACAACCACAAGTGTAACATCACTGCCTGGAACAGCCACAGGTGTAACATCACTGCCTGGAACAGCCACAGGTGTAACATCACTGCCAGCCACAGGTGTAACATCACTGCCTGGAACAGCCACAGGTGTAACATCACTGCCTGGAACAGCCACAGGTGTAACATCTTTGCCTGGAACAGCCACAGGTGTAACATCACTCCCTGGAACAGCCACAAGTGTAACATCACTGCCTGGAACAGCCACAGGTGTAACATCACTGCCTGGAACAGCAACAAGTGTAACATCACTGTCTGGAACAGCCACAGGTGTAACATCACTGCCTGGAACAGCCACAGGTGTAACATCACTGCCTGGAACAGCCACAAGTGTAACATCACTGCCTGGAACAGCCACAGGTGTAACATCACTGCCTGAACAGCCACAGGTGTGTGTAACATCACTGCCTGGAACAACCACAGGTGTAGCATCACTGCCTGGAACAGCCACAGGTGTTATCTCATTCCCTGGTGCAGCCACAAGTGTTACAACAGTGTATGGTACAGTCACGAGTGTTATAACAGTGCCAGGTGTACCGACAGATGTTCCGTCATTCCCTGATGCAGTCACAAGTGTTACATCATTGCACGGTACAGTTGTAAGTGTTATATCACTGCCTGGTACCTTCACAGGTGTAACGTCACTGCCTGGAACAGCAACAAGTGTAACAGCTTTGCCTGGAACAGCCACAGGTGTAACGTCACTGCCTGGGACAGCCACAGGTGTAACATCACTGCCTGGAACAGCCACAGGTGTAACATCACTGCCTGGAACAGCCACAGGTGCACTGCCTGGAAACAGCCACAGGTGTAAACATCCTGGAACAGCCACAGGTGTAACATCACTGCCTGGAACAGCCACAAGTGTAACATCACTGCCTGGAACATCCACAGGTGTAACATCACTGCCTGGAACAGCCACAGGTGCTCAGGTGTAACATCACTGCCTGGAACAGCCACAGGTGTAATCACTGCCTGCCACACATCACTGCCTGGCCACAGTGTAACACACCAAACAGGTGCTGCCTGGAATAGCCACAGGTGTTATCTCATTCCCTGGTGCTACTACAAGTGTTACAACAGTGTATGGTACAGTCACGAGTGTTATAACACTGCCAGGTGTACCGACAGATGTTCCGTCATTCCCTGATGCAGTCACAAGTGTTACATCATTGCACGGTACAGTTGTAAGTGTTATATCAATGTCTGGTACCTTCACAGGTGTAACGTCACTGCCTGGAATAGCAACAAGTGTAACAGCTTTGCCTGGAACAGCCACAGGTGTAACGTCACTGCCTGGAACAGCCACAGGTGTAACATCACTGCCTGGAACAACCACAGGTGTAACATCACTGCCTGGAACAGCCACAGGTGTAACATCACTGCCTGGAACAGCCACAGGTGTTATCTCATTCCCTGGTGCTGATACAAGTGTTACAACATTGTACGGTACAGTCACGAGTGTTATAACACTGCCAGGTGTACCGACAGATGTTGCTTCATTCCCTGGTGCAGTCACAAGTGTTACATCATTGCACGGTACAGTTGTAAGTGTTATATCACTGCCTGGAACAGCCACAGGTGTAACATCACTGCCTGGAACAGCCACAGGTGTAACATCACTGCCTGGAACAACCACAGGTGTTATCTCATTCCCTGGTGCAGCTACAAGTGTTACAACAGTGTATGGTACAGTCACGAGTGTTATAACACTGCCAGGTGTACCGACAGATGTTGCTTCATTCCCTGGTGCAGTCACAAGTGTTACATCATTGCACGGTACAGTTGTAAGTGTTATATCATTGCCTGGAACAGCCACATAACATCACTGCCCACAGCCACAGGTGTAACATCACTGCCTGGAACAGCCACAGGTGTAACATCACTGTCTGGAACAGCCACTGGTGTAACATCACTCCCTGGAACAGCCACAGGTGTTATCTCATTCCCTGGTGCAGCTACAAGTGTTACAACAGTGTATGGTACAGTCACGAGTGTTATAACACTGCCAGGTGTACCGACAGATGTTGCTTCATTCCCTGATGCAGTCACAAGTGTTACATCATTGCACGGTACAGTCGTAAGTGTTATATCACTGCCTGGTACCTTCACAGGTGTAACGTCACTGCCTGGAACAGCCACAAGTGTAACATCACTGTCTGGAACAGCCACAGGTATAACATCACTGCCTGGAACAGCCACAGGTGTTATCTCATTTCCTGGTGCAGCCACAAGTGTTACAACAGTGTATGGTACAGTCACGAGTGTTATAACACTTCCTGGTGTACCGACAGATGTTCCGTCATTCCCTGGTGCAGTCACAAGTGTTACATCATTGCACGGTACAGTCGTAAGTGTTATATCACTGCCTGGAACAGCCACAGGTGTAACATCACTGCCTGGAATAGCCACAGGTGTTATCTCATTCCCTGGTGCAGCTACAAGTGTTACAACAGTGTATGGTACAGTCACGAGTGTTATAACACTGCCAGGTGTACCGACAGATGTTGCTTCATTCCCTGGTGCAGTCACAAGTGTTACATCATTGCACGGTACAGTCGTAAGTGTTATATCACTGCCTGGAACAGCCACAGGTGTAACATCACTGCCTGGAATAGCCACAGGTGTTATCTCATTCCCTGGTGCAGCTACAAGTGTTACAACAGTGTATGGTACAGTCACGAGTGTTATAACACTGCCAGGTGTACCGACAGATGTTGCTTCATTCCCTGGTGCAGTCACAAGTGTTACATCATTGCACGGTACAGTCGTAAGTGTTATATCACTGCCTGGAACAGCCACAGGTGTAACATCACTGCCTGGAACAGCCACAGGTGTTATCTCATTCCCTGGTGCTGCTACAAGTGTTACAACAGTGTATGGTACAGTCACGAGTGTTATAACACTGCCAGGTGTACCGACAGATGTTGCTTCATTCCCTGGTGCAGTCACAAGTGTTACATCATTGCACGGCACAGTTGTAAGTGTTATATCACTGCCTGGAACAACCACAGGTGTAACATCACTGCCTGGAATAGCCACAGGTGTTATCTCATTCCCTGGTGCTGCTACAAGTGTTACAACAGTGTATGGTACAGTCACGAGTGTTATAACACTGCCAGGTGTACCGACAGATGTTCCGTCATTCCCTGGTGCAGTCACAAGTGTTACATCATTGCACGGTACAGTTGTAAGTGTTATATCACTGCCTGGAACAGCCACAGGTGTAACAGAACAGCCACAGGTGTAACACCTGGAACAGCCACCATCACTGCCTGGAACAGCCACATCTCATTCCCTGGTGCTGCTACAAGTGTTACAACAGTTTATGGTACAGTCACGAGTGTTATAACACTTCCTGGTGTACCGACAGATGTTGCTTCATTCCCTGGTGCAGTTACAAGTGTTACATCATTGCACGGTACAGTTGTAAGTGTTATATCACTGCCTGGAACAGCCACAGGTGTAACACTTTTCCCTGGAACAGCCACAGGTGTAACATCACTGCCTGGAACAGCCACAGGTGTTATCTCATTCCCTGGTGCTGCTACAAGTGTTACAACAGTGTATGGTACAGTCACGAGTGTTATAACACTTCCTGGTGTACCGACAGATGTTGCTTCATTCCCTGATGCAGTCACAAGTGTTACATCATTGCACGGTACAGTCGTAAGTGTTATATCACTGCCTGGAACAGCCACAGGTGTAACATCACTGCCTGGAACAGCCACAGGTGTTATCTCATTCCCTGGTGCAGCCACAAGTGTTACAACAGTGTATGGTACAGTCACGAGTGTTATAACACTGCCAGGTGTACCGACAGATGTTGCTTCATTCCCTGGTGCAGTCACAAGTGTTACATCATTGCACGGTACAGTCGTAAGTGTTATATCACTGCCTGGAACAGCCACAGGTGTAACATCACTGCCTGGAACAGCCACAGGTGTTATCTCATTCCCTGGTGCAGCTACAAGTGTTACAACAGTGTATGGTACAGTCACGAGTGTTATAACACTGCCAGGTGTACCGACAGATGTTCCGTCATTCCCTGGTGCAGTCACAAGTGTTACATCATTGCACGGTACAGTCGTAAGTGTTATATCACTGCCTGGTACCTTCATAGGTGTAACGTCACTGCCTGGAACAGCCACAGGTGTAACATCACAGCCTGGAACAGCCACAGGTGTAACATCACTGCCTGGAACAGCCACAGGTGTAACATCACTGCCTGGAACAGCCACAGGTGTTATCTCATTCCCTGGTGCAGCTACAAGTGTTACAACAGTGTATGGTACAGTCACGAGTGTTATAACATTGCCAGGTGTACCGACAGATGTTGCTTCATTCCCTGGTGCAGTCACAAGTGTTACATCATTGCACGGTACAGTCGTAAGTGTTATATCACTGCCTGGAACAGCCACAGGTATAACATCACTGCCTGGAACAGCCACAGGTGTAACATCACTGCCTGGAACAGCCACAGGTGTAACATCACTGCCTGGAACAGCCACAGGTGTTGTCTCATTTCCTGGTGCTGCTACAAGTGTTACAACAGTGTATGGTACAGTCACGAGTGTTATAACACTTCCTGGTGTACCGACAGGTGTTGCTTCATTCCCTGATGCAGTCACAAGTGTTACATCATTGCACGGTACAGTCGTAAGTGTTATATCACTGCCTGGAACAGCCACAGGTGTAACATCACTGCCTGGAATAGCCACAGGTGTTATCTCATTCCCTGGTGCTGCTACAAGTGTTACAACAGTGTATGGTACAGTCACGAGTGTTATAACACTGCCAGGTGTACCGACAGATGTTCCGTCATTCCCTGGTGCAGTCACAAGTGTTACATCATTGCACGGTACAGTCGTAAGTGTTATATCACTGCCTGGAACAGCCACAGGTGTAACATCACTGCCTGGAACAGCCACAGGTGTTATCTCATTCCCTGGTGCAGCTACAAGTGTTACAACAGTGTATGGTACAGTCACGAGTGTTATAACACTTCCTGGTGTACCGACGAATGTTGCGTCATTCCCTGGTGCAGTCACAAGTGTAACATCGTTGTATGGTACAGTTACTAGTATTATATCACTGTCTAGTGCAGTCACTGGTGTTACTACATTCCCTGGAACAGTTGGAACTGTTATATCGCAGCCGTCATTGTCAATCAATCCAACAGGTACATTACTGCCTGTTAGTGTCACAACAGTAACGTCTACAATTGGTTCCTCTTTAATTGCTCAAACTACGCTTCCTCCTGGCCAGATGGTGCATCCAGCTTTCGCAACTTTCCCCATAGATATGCAAGCTGACACTGACAGCGAAGGACCAGCAGGTGTCACTTCCCCGTTCGACAACTCACAAACATACCAAAATGTCTCGGCATCAGGTACTCTACCATCAATATGTCAGCCTACCTGCCTCATACCTGACTCCTGGCTAGCAGACCCAACAGACTGCCATTATTTCTATGTCTGTCACTTCATTGATTATCTTTCCATGAAGCCTCAACGCATCAGGTGTCCCGAAGACAAGCCAGTGTTCAGCCAAGATGAAGGGAAATGCATGGCATCAATTCAGTGTGTGGTAACCTGTCCTGGTGCTGTTGCTCCGATGCCTCCCCCAACCCCTGACACCACCAGCTGCCAGCCTAAGTGCGTCATTCCGAACTCCCTGGTGCCAGACCCAATGGACTGCACCCACTACTACATATGTGTATTCCTGAGAGGTCTGACGCCGCATCCTGTTCGTGCGAGGTGTCCTTCCACCAAACCTTTCTTCCACAGGACTAAACTCCGGTGTGAAGCCGAGGCGAGATGTATTGAAATGTGTTCTGTTCCCTCTACTTCGCTAGAAACTACAGCACCGCCAGCAGTTGAAGACCTGGATGATCCTTGCTTGCCCTCCTGTGTCCGACCAGAATCTGTGGTGAAGGATCCCAAGGATTGCCACCATTACTATACCTGTAGAGCCAATGGTAACAGCACCATTCTTACAAGAATGGCTTGCCCTCCGAGCCGACCCGTGTTCGATGCAAGCAGCGAAAGCTGTTCATACTTTGCAGAATGTCAGGTTACATGCCAGCAGAGTGAAACCCATACTGGAAATGACACAGACAATGCTTTAATGTTGATACCAGAAAAGTGTCGACCAAATTGCACTCAACACAACACCATCTTGCATGACCCCTTGGATTGCCATCACTACTATGTATGTATGATTGTACAGGGACAAGCCCACACCACAAGGATTCGTTGTCCAATCTCTCGCCCAGTCTTTAATCTGGAAAGCTACAGCTGTCGAGCAGAATCATCCTGTATCACAACATGCCCGGACACTGATCTTGTAACACCAGGAGCCACAAATACGACTCATTTGCCAACGTCTACAGTGCCTCCGATACAACAGAATATCCCTATACCAGTTCTTCTATAGTGACGCTATCGCCCACAGTTACGCCAACACATTCTTCAACATCTGTTAATCTATGCCGACCAATTTGCTCATCCCAACACACTCTTGTCCATGACCCTATTGACTGTAACCACTTCTATACATGCAACATCACTCGCCTTACTCCATATCCCCACTATACACCAATTCGAGGAAAATGTCCCCCAGAACGACCGGTCTTTGACCTGAAGAAACATTCTTGTGCTGCAGATATTCCTTGTATTACTACATGTGAAGGGGTTATAGCTACAACTCCTACAACATTAGCTACCAGTGGCAAACCCTCACAAGTTACACCCATAATCATCCCTGGTGACGATGGGCCTTGCAATATCTACTGCGACAAGCCAAATTCTATCGTGCGTGATCCAACCAGTTGCCATCACTACTTCCTCTGTATATTCTTCGATGGTACTGTTCCTCGCCCTTTGAGAATCAGATGCCCAAGAGAGAAGCCTGTGTTTGATACGGAGAGCAAGACCTGTCAAAGCCATGCTCCCTGTCGCACCTTGAATTGTCAGCAAACAAGCAGTGAATCAACAACAGTGGGATCCATCACTCCATCACCTGCAGGATTCATTAATAACACTCTAACAGAAGGAACTATTAGCGAGAAACCGACACCAACAGAATCTGTCGGTACCAAACCAACACAAGAACCTTTCACTGTAAGTCCAGCAACAGAAGAAATCACCAGTACAACAGATGAAGAAATGATCACTACCACTCTAACACCAGAAGAAACCATAAGCACCAGTCCAACAACAGAACCTACTACTAATGATCCAGATTCCAGTGAAATTATCACTACCATTCCACCATCAAAAGAGCCTATCACTACCAGTCTACCCTCAAAAGGACCTATCATTACCAGTCTAACGCCAGGATTTAGTAGTACCAGCCCAACACCGGAAGAACCTATTACTAACTATCCGTTTCCAGAAGGAATGGTCACTACCAGTCCAAAACCTGGAGCTACTAGCGGCACCAGTCCATCTGAGGGAACTTTTAGCACAGCCTTTACTCTGAACACCAGCCCCGCAGTAGAAGTCACTCCACAAACAATGACATCAAATTCGGATTCAGGAGACACTGTTCCAGATCACTGCAAGCCAAAGTGCAAGCGTGCAGGTATTCTAATCCCTGATCTGACTGACTGCACTCGTTATTATGCATGCGTTTTTGTAAATGGCTTAGTTCCTCAGCCGGTGGTCGCCAGATGTCCTAAAAACAAACCCATATTCAACAACATCACAAGACGTTGTGTGGAATCAGCCCCGTGCTATACTCCATGCTCTACACAGGAAGAAACCACCGTTAGCAACCCCTTTCCCTCATCAGTTACTCCGGTACCCACTCCAAGTGAAACCACCCCACAGGATCTAGCAGCGACTGGGTGCTCGAATGCTGGGTTCTTTGCTAAAAGTAATATCTGTGTCGGGGTGTACACGCACCT